ACTCCAGTACCACCCAAGCCTGAAGTATTCTTTAAATTTAGCTTCATATCCATTTGGATCATTCAGGGGAGGCTACCTATAGCAGTGTTGTTGAAAGGTTTACCTTAGAGTCCAACAGATATTTGGACACCTTCCCACCTGAGGGGCTCATTTTCTGATGTTGTCTCTTTTTATCATTTTAGTACTGTCCATGGGGTTTTCTTGGCAAAGATCACAGTAATACAAGTCTATGCTCCAGCCACTGACACTGAAGAGACCAAAGTTGATCAGTTCTATGAAGACCTACATCATCTTCTAGAAATAACACCAAAAAATAAAAAGGTGTTATATTCATCACAAGAGACTGGAATGCTAAAGCAGGAAATCAAAAGATATGCAAATTTGGCCTTGGATTACAAAATGAAGCAGGCCAGAGACTAACAGAATTGTGTCAAGATAATTCATTGGTTGTAACAAATACTATTTTTCAACAACCCAAAAGGCAACTCTACACATGGACCTTACCAGAGTCAATATAGCGATCAGATTGATTATATACTTTGCAGCCAAAGGAGGAGAGCTCTATATTGTCAGTTAAAACAAGACCTGGAGCTCAGATCATGAACTGCTTATTGTAAAATTGGGGCTTAAATTGAAGAAAGTAGGGGAAACCATCAGATCATAGAGGTATGACCTAAATAACACCTTTTGTGAAGTGGAGGTGATGAATAGAGTTAAGGGATTCAACCTGTTAGCATGCTTGAAGAACTATGGACAGAGGTTCACAATATTGTGCAGAAGCCAGCAACAACAACAACAACAAAAAAAATTTTAAAGAAAAAGAGGAGAAAGAAAGCAAAATGGCTGTCTAATGAGGCTTTACAAATAGATGAGGAAAGAAGTAAAAGATTGAAAAAAAAAGGGGAAAGATATACCCAACTGAATGCAGAATTCCAGAGAATAGTGAGGAGAGATAAGTTTCTTTAATGAGTAACGTAAAGAAATAGAAGAAACTGATAGAATGGGAAAGACCAGAGATCTCTTCAAGAAAACTAGAGATATTAAGTATAAAATTTCATGCAAAAAATGGGCATGATAAAAGACAAAAATGGTAGTGATGAAACAGAAGCAGAAGAAATTAAGAAGAGTTGACAATACACAAAAGAAAGATTTTAACATCAACACCAATAACTATGATGGTGTGTTAACTGAACTAGAGCCTGACATTCTGGAAAATAAAGTCAAGTGGGCCTTAGGAAGCACTGCCAACCATAAAGCCGGTTGAGGTGATGGTATACTAGCTGAGCTATTTAAAATCCTAAAAGATGATGTTATTTGTATTGCACTCAATATACCAGCAAATTTGGAAAACACAATAGTGGCCACTGGACTGGAAAAGATCAGTTTACATCCCACATGGCAATGCCAAGGGATATTCAAATTACTGAACAATCGTGCTCATTTCACACCAGTGAGGTTATGCTTAAGATTCTGCAGACTATGCTTCAGCAATATGTGCACTGAGAATTTCCAGAAGATCAGGCTGGTTTTTGAAGAGGCAGAGGAACTAGAGACCAAATTGCCAATGTTTGCTGGATTTTGGAGAAAGCACGTGAGTTCCAGAAAAACATCTGCTTCTGTTTCACTTGCTATACTAAAACTTTTGACTCGTTGGGCCACAACAAAATATGGCAAGTCCTCAAAGAGACGGGAGTATCAGATTGTCTTACTTGTCTCCTGAGGAACTTGTATGCAGGCCAAGAAGCAACAGTTAGAGCCAAACATGGAACAACTGACTAGTTTAAGACTGGAAAAGGAGTACAATGACGAGGCAGTATCTCATCACCATATTTATTTCACTTACACAGAATACATCATGTGAAACGTCAGGCTGGATGAATCAGAACCTGGAATTAAGGTTGACAGAAAAAATAGCAATAATCCCAGATATGCAGATGATACCTAACTCTTGTGGCAGAAAGTGAAGAATAAAGAAGCTTCTTAACGAGGGCTGGAAGAAGAGAGTATGAAGGCTGGCTTGAAGCTTAACAACAACAACAAAAAAGAACAACTAAGATCATGGCAACTGGTCCCATCAATTTCTGGCAAGTAGAGAAGAAATGGAAGCAGTGCCAGATTTTATATTCTTGGGCTCAAAGATCACTGCCTACAGCAACAGTAGCTATGAATTTAAAAGACACTTGCTCCTTGGAAGGAAAGATATGGCAAATTTGGAAAGTACACTAAAAAGCAGACTTTGCCAAGAAAGGTCTGTATAATCAAAGCTATGGCTTTTGCAAGAGCCATGTATGGCTGTAAGAGTTGAAGCAAAGCTGAGCACCACAAAATCGATGCTTTCAAATTGTGGTGCTAGAGAAGACTTTTGAGAGTCTCTCGGACAGCAAGGAGATCAGTTCAGTCAATAGTTTTTAAGAGGTTAATATATAGGTATTTTTATCATAAAACCCCAAGAAAATCATTAACAAAAAGGCTATTCATCCAACAAGGATTTCCAAGTGCCCAAAATGTGCCTGGAGATGAGACACTGGGGATGTAAAGATAAAAAATGATACAGTTGCTACCCTCCAAGAGCTTGTATCCTATTTCCCCCCTATATACCAAATTATTAATAGTAGTACTTTTTGTAACAGCAAGTCTAGAAAAAAAATGGGTGCTCATTAATTGTGGAATGGCTGAGCAAACTGTGGTATATAAATGTAACGAAATTTTATTGTGTCATAAAGAACGACAAATATGGGGGATTCAGTGAAACGTGAGACGACTTGTTATGTAGAATAATATATATCATAACACAAACACCAAAATAATAGGAATTCAGAATGAATGCAATCAACAGCGTTGGTTCCAAAAAACCAATGATGCAACCTTCCACCTCCTGTTGTTGCGGTACCCAGGTGTGTTGTGAAGTCGTCTCGAAAGAATTCACAGACTCAGACTATCTCCAAACCAAGCAAAGGCATTTATTGAGGATTATGCTTACAGTGGGCTAGGCCTAGCAGGTAGGATAGGGATTTTTATAGAGCAAATGATGTTAGGAGTAAAACAGAAAATATAAATATTAAAATATAGGAGGGACTTGCCAATGGGGGAGGTAGGATAGATAGCCTTGGTAGAAATGTACATGCAGCTACTCCGGATGCATTAAAAAAATCCCACTTGAGGGGTTACTAATGTAAGATAATGACATTATAATAAGCGTCTCTACATCATAAGTTCACCCAAAGGGCAGTTTTTGCTATTACTCTGCAGGCATCCACTTCGGAAAAGTCTCTTCAGTGGTTTTGTGGTCAACATCCTGTTCAGTATCCTGTAGGTGGTATGACTGAAACTAGATGGTGTGGTCTGGTCACGTCTGCTGCTATAGTGGGGCACATGAGGAAGTTGGGATATTGGGGCTCGGGATAGCAGGTAGGATTTCATCAATGGCGCAGAAAATAGAAACCTGGGCCTGGAGTCAGGATGACTTGAATTAAAATTGTTTCAGAAACTTATTAACTGTGTAATCCTGGGCAAGTCATTCTGCCTCAGTTTCCTCATCTGCAAAATGGGGATAATAACAGCAACTACCCCCCAGGGTTGTTACGAGGATCAAATGAGATAATAATTATAAAGAGCTCAGCCCAGTACCTGGAGACAGAGTAGGTACTACATAAATATTATTATTATTATTATTATTATTATTATTATTATTATTATTTTGGTTCCTACTTGCACCCCCAATGGGCCTTTCCATTTCCCTGCTGGGTCACCTGAAATCAATCAAGTATTTATTAAATACCTACAACCTGCTCAGCACAGGAAATACATAAACATGTGAAACAGTACCAGGTGTAAACAAAAACAATAATACCAATACTGTACTCTGTGATTTAGGTTTGTTTTCCACAAACAATTTAATTTAACAATCTAATATAAAAGCCATTTCTAGCTTGCAGAAGGATGTCTAAACTGGAATGGTCTCCCCCTTCTCTCCCTCACATGACTCTATGTCCCAAGATGATTTTAGGTAACATTTATTGGAGAAAGAAAATTATGATATTTAACATGCAGTTTGGGCTAGCATTTCAGAATTGTTGAGTAACCATTTCATTTCTCCTGAACCACAGCTTTGGAGGAATCAATGGAATCCCAGAGAATTATATTAAGAATCTAAACTTCAATGGAGAAGGGTATTTCCCTGGAGTTGCCTAGCGCCAACAGACAATTGTTTCAAGAGTGGAGAAAGTAATGATTCTTCAATCAAGTTTACTTATCAAGATTAATTCACTTCTGCAAGGAAGGCCTTAGCCTTTTTTTTTTTGTACCTACTTTCTTAAAGGGAAAAGTCTGGAAAGGGTTTTAGAAATAATTTTTTAAAGTATTTCTAGAGAGACTAAAAAGGATGTTTTTAATATGCTTCCATAGTACTCTCACAGATCTGAAATTCTGATTCTTCAGAGATTGTGATATTTCAAGATGTAAAACTACAGAGCATCTCTGAGAGAACATTTCTGTTCAGAAGGTTAACCTCACAAGGCAGCAACTTGGGATTCTTAAAAGTCCTACACAATTTCCCATTTGCAATCCAGCCCACTCTCTCTCCTTTTAAATTCTGACTCAATTCATTATCTATCTTTAGATAATTCAACTTTATATCTTCATACACATTTGCATGTGCATACATACACACATATGCCTATGTAATAATGTACTAAAAATGAATGGGCTGGCTATCCAAATGATACGACAGGCAAGGGAGAAGACTGAGTTGAAATGAATGAGAAAGGATAGTTACAGAGACTGAGAACCTACCTTGAGTCCAATTGTGAAAGAACCACATCAGTGATTATAAGATAACAATTAGTGGTTCACTAAATACCATCTAAAAAGAACACAATCTATAAGGGTTTCAGAATCTGAGAGAGAACACCAATATGCAAGAAAGCTCACCAGTCAATTCTTTTTGTTTGATTTCAGAGTTAAATATCTATGTAATACATACCAAAAAGATCCAGTGAATCTTAATGTATATATATTGTTTATTGTTTTCAACAACATATTAGTAGATTGGATAATAAACATTACTTTTAAACATTCTCTTAACCAAAAATATAACAAATATTTACAATCACTCAGTAAAAATACAAAAAGCATACAGAGGCACTGTCTTTCTAAAAGACATAAGTGTAAGAGGTATCAAAAAATAGGAGACAGACATTGCTTGTTACAGAATGCTTTACAATCACTGAACTGTGCAGCACAGTTACCACTGGAATATTATTTCAACTGTGCAGTTTTGTGTGGTTTTTTTGCCAATATTCTCACATATTTAGAATTCATAATACCAAGTTAAACTGCATTCCATGTGTATCAAAAATAAAGACAGCCACAAAAAGCACAACCTAAGCTAAAGCTGAACTGGGTGTTCAAGTTTTAATTTTTAGATATATTGGGAAGCTTTTCTAAACAGAGTATCCCTTTTCTCCCAATCAGTTTAAGTTAATGGATTTCTCAAACTATTTCTAATAATCAATAAAGCTTAAAATGACAACAAAATTTTTGTCAGTCCATTGCAATCAAATTGCTTTTAAGATAAAGGAAATAAGAATGCTTTCCCTCCATTCTTGGTTTGGGAGGAAATGCTTTACAAGGACTTACTCAATCTTGCAAGTGATGGGATCTACATAATTACAAGGAAGCCTTAGGTTCATGTTCACAAGCTGGGTAGAGTCATCCCTAAGTCCTGCTACTCTAAGATTCTGAGCTTTAAGATTAGCACAATAATGAATTTCCTTTGCAATTTAACACTCTCTGCTGAAACTAATTTTGTGGGTATTTTTATCAGTCATGAATAGAGCATCCGCTTTTATTGAAAGAAAAAGTGCAAAAGAAAAATTAACACTACTTATGTTAATCTTAAATTAAGATGCTCTTTAGAATTATTTATTTTCCTTAAAATTTTATTTTTAAGAAATTATTTGGTGGAAGTTAAATTGCTTTCTTGGCCCCATTTGGCACGTCAGGGATTTTTAAAGCACTTCCTCCACATACCAGTGCTCTAGTGGAGTAAGAAGGGCCACAGGGAGAGGCATGTTCATCCCTTGACTAAAGTGAGGAATTTGGAAAAGGTCAAAAGAAACCAGACAGGGGATTATGGGACATACAAGGTCAGTGGCTTCTCTCACTATGGCTTAGTGACAAACCAGGAAAATGAAAAACTGTAAACCAACTTAAAATAATACCTACAATCAAACTCAACAAAAAGGGAATAATTACTTCTCAAACCCACACACAACCACTACACATTTACCTGTTGTCCCTGATCAGTGTGATCACTAGAATCCCTAGCATGCACAGCCAGGCCAGGCAGCAGTAAGCCACTCTGAATCAGAAGCATAGAAAAGTTCACCTACTTCCCAGTCCCTTCATGTGACTATCTTGATTTACATAAAATACCTCTATCCAGGTAAAATGCCTACTCAGATTTCCTATCACATGAAAAAGCCTGCTAAGTAAGAAGAGGTTTTATAAACCCCAGTCTAACTTGGAGAGTGGATATAAAACAGCTTACTGAATATTGCACACCAATTAAACAAGACACTTGCAGGAAAGACACGGCTTTGTTTTTTGTTAGTTATGGCAAGTGGTCCACAAACTAGGAGCAAAAAAAAGTATATGAAAGAAAAAATATTCCTCTTTTCAGGCAATGTACATATACAGCTTCCTGATTAAATGTAAATTCTTTACATGTCGGATGACTACAACATGGTTTTAAAGCATGTAACTTATTTCCCATATTACTTTTCATGTTATTTCTAGCCCATTAGGGCAAAAAAAAAAAACCCTGCTATGTCAAGTCCTTACTGCAGCAGCTAATCTAATCCAGAAACCTTCACTCTGAGAAAGAAATATGTGAGCTTCAGTTATCAGCTATGATTTTGGCAAAATAATTTTTTAGGCATGGATTTCTTTCTTGCTTTTCTTAAGATTAACTGTAAGCCCTACAGAGGAAAAGAGAACAAATACCATTACTTTAGAACTGTGTACTGACTTGGGGCTTTGAGAGGAAGGGATAGAAAAGGGGAAGATAGTCCTACTGAGAGTAACATTTACACAAAAAGTCACAAATGAAAACATGATTGACAACACACACTCAAATATTAACCAATTTCTGCCCAAAGTTCATTTGGGTAATGCACATAATTGGCTTTGGAATTTTTTTTTGGTACTCGTAACTTTCTGAATGTTATTTTACTTACCTTGCACACTATAAAATTGAAATAATATAAAATAACTTTAAAAACTCTTTTAACTTAGGATGTAGAAAACATTTCACCCAGCTTGTAAAAAACGTTAAAAATCTAGCCCACCTTGTAAATGAGGTCACAGAAATGTACAATTACATGTTCAAATCTATATTAACACATTCATGTCCAATTAAGTCACTGGAATGCATCTTTGAGTACCTACACTGGTAAAGAACAAGCGTGTTCATTTTTATACCCCTGTGTTTGGGTCTCCCCTTTCTCCCACCCCAAAAATAAAAAAGCCTATACTTTGGTTGGCTAAAATTTTAAAACAGGCCACTTGACAGTGGGACTGATATCATAAATGCACACATACCAGTAAAATATAACCCAATGATAATTGGAAATTATCAGAAATAGGTAAAAATGCAGCAGTTCCATTTCATAAATATTTTTATAGCACTCAATGGCTTAGTAGATAACATTTCTACTCTGCTTCTCTGTAGGTACGCAAAGTGATTAACTGGAATTGAAAACCCAATTCAAAACTATGACCTACTTGTTTTATACTCCTAGTTAAAGTATATTTGCCAGGCTGCTTTTTACCTTCAGAAACAGTGGAGTTGTATTTAACTAAGCTTATAGCATTTTAGTCATAGAGATGAGTTTCATGCATTCGAGCACCTCCATTTTAATAATTTAGGGAATCTCTTAAGACTTCAAGGTAATGATTTCCCCCCATCAGAACCTAAGTTTCTTAAGAGTTAGTGATTGTTTTATTCTCTACATTTGTATCTCCAGGGCCCATCTCAGTGCTTGGCACACCATACGCATTTGGTAAGTATTTATTGATTGATTCATACTTTGATTCTTTTTTTTTAAAAAGACAGGCTCACTAAACTTTTCCAACTGGGACTACAAGATGGTGACATTTTGCTGATCTAAATTCACAAACAAGAAATCGTTTCCATTCCATTCAGAATATACTTTCCCTCAATTTTATGTGTATAACCATGCTGTAATCTGTCCTTGTATTTTTCCTTGGGGAACATAAGCTTTGCTTTAAAGGACACTTGATTGACTATCCTAAGAATAGTTAAAGTGAGTCTAATTTTTATTTCCTTCTAAACATACACATTAGCCAACCACAGCATAACACTCAAACACAAATAAAGAAAACTCTAAAAACTCTCAATTAGTTAATAAATTATTATTCAAACACCACTGCAAAGTCCTTGTTTTTTGGCAGAAGTTTTGACGTTGTGCATGAAAAATATGGACATGAAAATAATATATGTCCAATAGGTCCATGAAATTAACATTCTTGGCTGGAAAACCATAATGTTACCTTAAAATAATTTTCGAGGGAAATCCATAGAAATACTCTATGATACTAAACATGATTTTCCACAGTTTAAGTGGTTCTCAAAATTGATTATCCCAATGAAGGCCTAGTGTGTAGACAGACACTTATAACAATTATATCAATGTACAGTGTCAGTGAGTTTTGCAGACTGGATGCTCCGTCACATGTCAGTATGGATTTCACAGGCTGTTGAGACTACATGCAATAGAGGCACAATTCAGCCAGGTCCACCTCACTGGTCATAACACAGGCACTAAAAACTTCTTAGTGTAGCAGCAGTAAGCTGTCAGCACTGGCTAACAGAATCTTATGGTCCTTCTTTACAAAGTATTTTGATGTGAACTTGTTTTGAAGATGATTTCCCCAAAGGCTAGACTGCTGAAACTTGCTCATTTTCTGAAAGTGAGGAAAAAAAAGTTGATGTTAAAATAATTAGCAAATATTTTCTTTTACAACCATATTAATGAAAATAAGCCAATTATCTGTGCTCAGTTAAGTACAAAAAAGAGGTTTAAGAAAAAGTAGACCATTTCTCAAACTATACTTATACTTGGACAAACCCTACAGGGGAAACCAGTCAAGAGTTTTAATATTAAAGAAAAATATCAGGGCAGCTAAGTGGCACAGTAGATAGAGTACCGGCACTGAAGTCAGGAGGACCTGAGTTCAAATCCGGCCTCAGACCAAACACTTGACACTTACTAGCTGTGTGACTCTGGGTAAGTCACTTAACCCCAATTGCCTTTAAAAAAAAAAAAGGAAGAAAGAAAGAAAAAAGACAATAAAAATATCCATAACATTCATTTTCAACAATGGACATTTTGAAAAATTCACTTATGCCTTATTCACTGGGGAGGGAGGAGAGATTTACAAGTTTCAGGAGTTTAAGGTGACGATTTACAGCTGTGAGAGCCTACTGCAAAACAGTGATAATAAATAACAACAACAATATTTAATAACAGCAGGTAGCATTTGTATTAGTGCCTATGTGTTAGGCACTGTGATAAGTGCTTTACAAATATTATTTCATCAGATCCTCACAACAATCCTAGGAGATAGATGCTGTTATTATGCCCATATTACAGTCAAGGAAACTGAGGCAAACAGCAATTAAGTGACTTGCCCAGGGTCAGGCAGCCAGTAAATGTCCGAGCTGGAATTCAAACTCAGGTCCTTCTGATACAAGGCCCAGTGCTCTATTCATCGTAACACCTAGCTGCCTCTCAACATAAAGTGACACCAACAATTGTGCAGCACAGCAGAGGGATCTGTAACTGCTGGGCAAAATAATTTTTAATAACAAAAAGATCATGGTTTAAGGTTCCCATGACATAATAATACTAGCATAATAAATCAATGTCTCATTTTCATAATACAAAACTTTGAAATGACTATTCCTTAAAATGGCACCTTAGTATGAACACTACTTAAAAAAAGATAATAGCACTTGGTTTAAGGCCTGAAGTCCGCTTGTTGTCTCCTTACATAAATGCTACAGGGGTTTGACATATTTTTTAAAATACATTTCAAAATCAATACAAATCAAAATCAAAACCATTAATGACTAAGAAAAATTAAGGCAGAAAAATCATAAAGCTGTGAGATTTGATTTGCACAGAAATTTATTTAAAAGTAATCAAAGGTAGTTAGTTCATCAACATACCATCTGCTTCACTATCTGCATCAGTCGCATCGGCTAGTTTAGGATGGGATGGCTGCAGATTATGCCACTGCGGCTGAGATAGGATCTTCGATGAAATACAGGCCATAGGTTCACTAACGAGAGAAGCTGATGAAAGTCTAGAGAGGTTGCTATGTACCATCTTTGACCTCTGTACTGCCACACTATAGTCTGGAGGTTTTACGTGTGGGTGGTGGGGTGGTCCTTCTTTTATGTCCGCTAAAGAAATCCCCATGTATCCTGGTGGGGTGGGAGGTGGCCCCCTATACCTATCGTCCTTCTTAGGTGAGGTGACACAGTACACTGGCATAAGAAATAAGCAATGGAAATGTTAATGAGGAAATAAGACTTGAAAAAACAAACTTAAAAGAAAAGTAAAATGTCACAATGGAAAAAAATGATTAAAAAGGCAAATGAAAAAACCTCAGTATATAATGATAGTGGCAGATTTCTGTTTTCAATTTTTAAAAACCATCTCTTTGTTCAAAACTATATTAAGTACTTATTGAAAAGGAGCTCTACCAATTTTTATCATAGTATATAGAATAATCAAGAACTACAAGAGATTACATCAATGACATTGAAAACTTGGGTCAAATTTTTGACTCTGGTTTCAAAAAAGTCCTCCAATGATGAGAGATTTAAAGAAAACCTTTTGGCACTGAAAAACTGAAAGGAATCTTCACCTCTCAGTCGTCAGTCTCCATTGATTACATTGAATACTGTAATGAAGAGTTTTATTTCTAGGAACTTTCATCTGTTGTAGAATACTTGTGTGTAATCAAGAGTAACATAAAAGAAGTGTACTAAAATCAGTAAATCAAAATGGTATTTCTCACAGGATTGGTTGTTTCTATACTTACATAATCAAATATATTTGTATGAACACTGCAGGATGAAACTCCTATAAAACAATGTAGATTCCCCCTCCGCCCCCCGACAAAATACGCTATTTTTAGTCATTCTTTCAAATAATATAGTGAATGGTGTATAAATAGCCTCCAACAAACACAACACAAATTAGGGTCCAGTACGCACCTCTACTATGTAACTACTTCATTCCAAGAAAGATACTACTGCTTTCTGATAAAGTTCAGAGAAAAACAAATTAATAATTTCGTATTTTCACTAGTAAAATAATCATCAGCTAATATATTTCTTCCTCAAGTCTATAATCCCTATATAGTATCAGTGAGCTTTGCAGATTGAATGCTCCACGTCAAAAGTTTCAAAAAGGAAGGTAAACTTGTCAGACTAGAAAAACAACAGAACATACAGATTAATTTTTAAAAGGGCCTTTGCAACTTTTGCTAACACACATCAGACAGTCACGTAGGGGGACCAAAAGAACTAGTCATTTATACAGCAACAAGGAAAAGATAAAGGATTACTAAAATATCAAAGTGAACATAAAATTTTATCTTTCTTGATTAGTTGGACTGAGAAGTGTCAATAATTATATTCTTATTTTCACAATTCTCCTCTATCTAATCCTCATCCAGGGTAGTCATAAAACTTAAGTCATTTAATCAAATCGAAACAAATACTAAATACTGACTATATTATATGGCATCTTATTAAAAACCAATTATTAATGAAATGAATTTAGAGATGTATAAATTATTTCATTAATGTGCTGGGACTGAAAATGGCACATTTTCTAATGCTTTCCAGAAAATATCTTTTTTGTTTTCTTTTTTTTTTTTTTTGGTTAGGTAGTGGGGTTAAGTGACCTGCCCAGGGTCACACAGCTAGTAAGTGTTATGTGTGAGACTGGATTTGAACTCAGGTCCTCCTGAATCCAGGGCCAGTGCTCTATCCACTGCGCCACCTAGCTGCCCCCAGAAAATATCTTAAGCCAAAGATTTTCTATCTAGTTCTTTAGGAAGGTTATTGCATATTTGGACCCTAAGAAAATATATTTAACTGTTCAATTTCATATCTTAGAGGTACAAGTATTGTTCTAAGAACTAAAAGGAAACAAAAGTTACCTCTAAAAGTAACGGCAATGGAGAAACTAAAGTAGAAGGTTCATAAAGCCTTGAATTCATCTCTTTTAAGAAACTCAAAGAACTGGGCATTTTTTTTTCTTACCAGCATTCAATATAGATACTTTTAAATCAATAGAATATAAGCATCATGAGAATAAAGATTGCTTCATTCTTTGTATTTGGGTAAGTATCACTTAATATGGTGCCCGTGGCTTTTACTAGGTACCTAATAAATGTTTTTTGACTGATCTCAGGAGAATCAAATTCCAAAAACCACTGAGGCAACATTAAAGAAGAAAAGATGGGACAAGTCACAAAGGGACCATATTTCTCCTTAAAATGTTGGTTAGGAATCCAGTGTCAGTTTCTCTTTATTTATATACCTCAAGATTTTTTTTTAGGTGGTGGGGTTACATCAGATGCCAACACCACTTTCACCAGACAGTTCTGGATGCCTGTTCCCCTATAGCACAATTAATCTGATCTTTCACACACAACCTGAGAATAGTTCTCTCTCTGAGATAAGGGAAGTTAACTCTGAGCCACAAAAAGATTTGCCCCCAGTCACTGAGAAAGTCAGGAAAAGGCAAGATTTAACTCTTATCTAAGTATGTCTTATTTTCACCCAAACACTAAGCTACTTGAGGGTAGGAAGTTATGTCATAATCTTTTACTTTCTCCTACAGCGGGCACATAATAATCTTCAATAAATCCTTACTGAACGAATGGATGAAATACTGTGCCTCGTATTCTCTGTTCTTTTTGAATGTTGATAGAATTCAACCTTCAACACATATGCAGCACACAATCACAAATATTATGTAGAATTCATTGCTTGAGTAAATTAAGTATTAACAGGAATGTCAGCTATAAAAGGGTAGGGGTGGGGAGGGAGTGCTACAGTATTCAAGGATACTTCCTCAGCAGGAGTAAAAGCGGGGTGGGGAACGAGGAGGAGGAAAGAGATATGATATGCAGGAAAATGTAGTGGACAGCCAAATACCAAAATAATAAGTTAGTGTAGATTGCACGAGTGATCAGAATGGAATTCTGTTGTAGGCATGAATGTTAGAGTTCCTCGCACATGCTGCAGACTAGGAGGGTGGGTTAAAAATTGTTTTAGGCCCTACTCAAGTCTTCATTTTTTTTTCCCTAAGAAGCCAGAAAGAGCAACATTAAATTCAAGGTTTCTACCAGATGCCATGAAGAAAAGGGCTTGCTTAAGTAATTTTTGTTGTTGTTCAGTTGTTTCAGTCATGCCTGACTCTTTGTGACCCCTTCTGGGGATATTCTTGGCAAAGATACTGAAGTGGTTTGCCATTTCCTTCTCCAGATCATTTTTTACAGATGAACAACTGAAGTGAACAGGGTTAAGCAACTTGCCCAGGGTCACACAGCTGGTATCTGAGGCTAGATGTGAATTCAAAAAGATGAGTCTTCCTGACTTCAGACCCAGCACTCTATCCACTCACGGCATCTCCTACCTTCCCAGTCTCTAGTGCTTCAGTCAGTTCAGCACAGCAATAAAGCTGTTTTCAGAGAAATGAAGTTCCCGTGACTAAAGCAAATCCATCTCTATTCAATAAGCTCTAGTGGCTCCCTAGTATTACAGCCAGGATCAAATACAAGGTTTTCCTTTTGTCTTTTAAAGCCCTTTATAACTTGGTCCCTTCCTAACTTTCCAGTCTTCTTGCACCTTCTTCCCTCCCACCACAGTCTAAACCCAAGGGACACCAGCCCCCTTGCTGTTCCTTGAACACAACAATCCCTCTCTCGGCCTGTATGTTTCAGTGGCTGTCTCCTCCTTCCGGCATTTTTTATTTCTTTATCTCAACTAAGATCATACCTTCTACAAGCCACCTATCGTGACTCCCCTTAATGCTAGTGTCTTCCCCTGAGATGGTCTCTAATTTTATCCTGTCCAGAGCTTGTTCATAGGAGACTATGAGATCCTTGAAGGCAGGGACTGATTTTTCCTTTCTAGTGCCTGGCATACAGCAAGAGCTTAATAAATGCCTATAGCCTTGACTATATTAAAAAAAAAAACAATTCCCCTTTTCTTTACCCACTGACACTTTTCTTCTCTTTTTTCTTTCAATTGTTCAGATCCAATCCAAGAGGATTCTAAAAATGTTTGTATGCAAAGGGAAGAGTGGGAGCGAGTGAAAAAAAATTTCTACTAAATACAAATAACTTTCATTTCATATAAAGGTCAAATGAAAACCTGAAAATGGAAAAAAAAGGAAAAGACATCAGAGTGCTCCTTCTCCGAGTTTCAACAGTAGTGAAGCTACTTTTCAACCTTCTGAGAAACATGTAGTATGTAAGTACTGCCGTTTTACCTGTAGGGCATTTGCTGGCACATTTCTCAAAGGAATGATGTGTCAAACTCTTGGATTCTGAAAGCTGCAGGCACATGGACACTTTATGCAAGATGATTTATAAGTCTCCTAGTAGATAATGAGGCATCCACGCTGAGGGTTTTACCATGCTTTTACATGCTTTCCCCCAAACTGATACACAAGTTCTGATGTGCTACAGCAGTTCAATTCTTGTTTGTCAACATCCAGAGATGGATGGAGCCAAAATCTGCCAACATCATTTCCAAATTACTTAATAGAAAGTTCTAAAAAGAAAAAAAAACCCAACACACCACTTACCTATCAAGCCTTTTTCTGTACTGGACGTAACGTTTTATATGTGGCATCAGTGCTAGGATGAGAATCCAAAGCCTCCTCTGGCTCTGCACTTGAATCCTCTACCACTCTTCTCCTCACTGTCCCATAGTTTGTCTCATATGTGTCTGAGAGAGAGCTTGAGGAGGCCCAGCTCTGTCTTGACTGTACCCATTCTGTGCCATCTTTAGGCTGACTGTTCGTCTGAGAGTAGCCTTCTGGATACAAATAAGGCTCACAGTTTGTGGGTTCCACTTCAGCAATGGGGACATCCAAATGAGTGTGTCGATAAGAATTTAAGAGGTCCCAGCTCTTCTGGTTCTGAATATTCTGGAAATTGTCATGAGAACTACTTGAACATGAAGTCCAACTTCCACGGCCACTGTCAGCTGCTTCTATGGTGATGTGTTCATGAGAAATCTCCTCAGTGCTCACAGATGATGAAACAGCTAAACCCTTGACTACAGAAGGCCTTGAGAGTGTCCATCTAAAGATGGAAACAATGCACATATGAACAATAAGCCTTGTTTTTCTGGTTTAAAAAAAAAACCTCTTTACTTGTTTACTAATTAAAAAAAAAAAAAGCTTTTCAAATGAATGTACCTACGTTGCTGCGAGGTACTAAGCAAACATGTACAACTTGTGAATGATAAAATAAGCTCACCAAAGCATGAAAATTAAAATTACAAACAGTAAAAGATATCTCTAAATCTTCTAATGGCATTTAGTTTGAATTTAAAATACAAAGAAATTTGAAGGATAGCATCATTGATCAAAATGGCATTCCTTAAAACTATACGTAAGTGTTAAGCTTGAAAATCAGCATTAAAACATTTTTCAAATCAAATGAAAAAATGTGGCTTGTAATTGATATATTCCTCCTCAGTAAGTCAATGTAACAAAATTCTGGATTAATCTCAGTGATTATAGTATTCAGAGAGAATAGCGTAGTTTGGACTATTTTAGAAATGTTAAAAAAAAATTACTAAGCAGTATTTGATTAATATTTTAATTAATTTGTCTTTTAAAAAACAACAAGCAGATTTTACAGATAACATCAGTATTGCATATACCCAGTATTATGCAGTGCTTCTTTAACATGTTTTGCGCATTTCAATAATCTGACTGTCCAAAGGGTGAGAACTTTTATACTGGATTAAAAAATATTTAAAAATGAAGAACTTTCACTTTCCTTCTTGTTCTTGTAAAACTCAAAAAACATTTAGCTGACTGACCAACCTAGGACACTGAATCAGCCTTCTTTAAAACTACTGATGAATATATGACTTTGTCTACCACAGCTTCCCAGTCTCCTGTCTTGCAGCCAACTCAACATTATTAAAGCAGCTCACCCAATCACATGCTGGCTGTGGTCAGCTGTCACTGGAGCGTGTTCCTTCTTTTCTGCTGCTCCAACTGAGTCCATGCCACTAAGAGACTGGGGTAAGGACCGATCCTCCTGTAGAGCTGCAGACATTGAGTCAACAGAACAATTACTCACGATGCTGGACCTTGATGAAATCTCACTATGGCTTGAGTCTGAGAAGTTTTCGGATTTAGCTGATGGCATATGGGTATAACCTAAACGAGGAAAAAGAAATATTTATACTAGGGGCAGAGCCTGAGAAACAAAACAACAAAACTCCACTAACAAATATTTAAAAAACAAAAGCAATATAGTGAGAATTTATTTACTACTTTGTTACAGAAAAGGAGGGAGAAAAAGCTCAATTCCTTGAAATGGTGTTATAGGGTTAACATTGTCAATTTTAATTGTATATCAGCAGTACAAATTCATGATATAAGATGGCACTTATTAAAAAATAACCACTTCAGACTTTAAAGTTACGGGGTCAAAAAAAACAATCAATAGTACCTATCCAAAGAAAAAAATCCTGTATATTAGGCTGGTATTACCTGTACACAGATCAGAAATAGCCTCAAGAGTGTAGTGAAAGTTAATTTGCAGACATAAGAAATGGCATAAAACCAATGGATTAGAGAATATATGAGTTTTCCAATAAAAACTCAAGAGGAGAAAACCACAATTCTCAACACATGCAAAGAAGATCTCACTTTAGATCTGAAAACAAAAATTCTATTCAAATTAATTATTCTTTATCAACTTTGCACCTAACTAAAATATGCCTTGTTAAAACAAGATCGAGGACTAGAAGGGTCCCTTAAAGGGTCATTTAATCCAATTGCCTATTTTATACCTGAGACCTCGCTATGGCCAGAGCTACATTCAATGTTTTCACCATTTGCTTCTTTTTCATTTTTACAAGGTCATGTCCTTTTTAGTTTTGTTTTGTTTTTGTATAAAAAGTACCTAATAAACTTATTCTAGATTTTATTTCTTGTCATCACTCTAAACTTATGAGTATTTCCTTTTCTATTCACAGTTAAGTTTGCCACTAAATTGTATCCACTGGAAATTTAAAGTTTGCTATCTATCAATATAATCTGGCTTTTATAAAGCAATTTATAAATACCTGAAGGATCTCAAGGATTAGAAGGGAGCAAGAGGCCATCTAATCCAAATTACAACTGAATTCATTCAATAATCTCTTGAAGACCTCCAAAAATGGAAAGAATCTATTTGGGGAGGCTCTAATCGACAGCAGGTTTTTCTTCTCATTGAGCAGAAATCTTCCTATCCATTGCCCCCAAGTTCTGCCTCTGGAGTCAATTGTAATCCCTCTTCCACATAAAAATCCTTCAATCACATGAAGACAGCTATGATAAGGCAGCTTGGCATAGTGGATCAAAGTTCTGGACTTACTCAGGAAGACCTGGGTTTGAAACTCACCTCTGAAACTTAGACCATGGACTGACTGCCTAACTGCTCCGAAGCTATTTCCTCATCTCTAACATGCGGGTGATGCCTGTAGCATAATACCTCATATGGTCATTGTAAGATTTAAGTAAGAGAATATATGTAAAGCATTTTTCAAACTTCAAAATTCTATCAAATATCAGCTACTATTGTTACCATCATCATCATCATCATCATCATCATCACTATTATCCTTCCCCCTTTATCCTTCACATTTTTGTGGCCAGCCCTTCCCTGGATATTCTTCAGTTTGTCAAGAACTTCCTAAAAATGTGTTACTCAGAATTGAATACATACTCCATATGTTATGACCAAGTCAAAGTCCAGTGTGACTATCTCACCTCCAGTATTCTAAACATTGGCTTTCTCAATGTAGCTGTAGGGTCCCAATTGGGGAAAAGCCATAAAAACTTAAACTCTGTGAAAGGTGGAAGCCTAAACATGGTTACCTGTTAAAAATCATAACTTAGATACTGAATACATTGAGTCAAAACTTAAGATACTATGACCTATGAAAGCCATAACAAGAATACCAAGACCAGTATATGATCAACACACAAACTTATGTCTGGGCATAACAATGGCTTAATGCCCAAGCTCATTATTAAGGAGAAAACCAAAAGTATCCAGCAATCAGTAGTGATGCACTCTCTAGCTCCTCCTGGGGGATTCTTAGCAGGGATCCACTGAACTGCCTGGCTGCTACCTGGGGCTGAAGTTTGCCCCTGTTTTGTAAGAATTCATAACGACTGATTAAACTACTACCTACAATCAGTCTGGAGATACTTGGCCTCTTCTTTTGGTATCAAAAATAACACCTCACAGTTATGGAGGAGATACAGGGTTCCCCAGCCAGGGGAATTCCAGACCTTACGACCGGTACAGTTGGCAGGATACCAATGGAATGCCAACAGAGTACGGGATAGGCCAGGGAGGATTCCTGGATGGCCTCCGTGGGGAGGTTGGGGGGAGGGCACCTGTGTTGGACACATTTGAAACACTGCATAAATATGGGGACGTCCTGAACGCAACAAAAGGCCTAGAGTCTCCTTTTGATGGAATTACATTCCATCGGGTTGGGAAAACAAGGAAGACAAATAGTGGAAAGATATAAGACGGCCCCTTTTTTAGAGCATTAAAAAAAAAAAGCCACTACCAAATTCCTAGACTCAAAGGCTGAGAACATAAAGTTGCTGGAAGAATTCTAGTTAGAAGAAACATGTAGAAATGCTGGTTTGCCAGTTAGCCAGGTTAAAGGTAGTTAAGAATGTGGATACGAAAGCAAAAAGGCATGTAATTGTGAGACAGTCTCTTTCTCCTTCTCTCCCTCCATCCCTGGCTGACTGCAGCAGCCCGGGTAGGTGAACAGAAGAGAAACAGAAAATATACTCAGTGAAGTGAAGATTACTTGAGAATAATTAAACCCCTAAAAGTTCAAAAACATATTCTTTCCCTACCTCTACATTCCTAAACTGTGGCCAGGTTGTGTGGTATAAAAGGACAGACAAAAAAAGGGGGGGGGATGGGGGAATCTTCTTCCTCAGAATGACAGATTTATTAAGAGAAAGTCACTTCACTGATTACGGAGAGATGGGCTTGGAGGCTACGTCAGTGAATGTTTCCAGGCTTGCACTTTGGAACAGAACTGGCACTTAACCCTTCCCTGGCTCACAAAACAAGAAGGTTGCTTCACTGATTATAGAGACATAGGTTTAGGGACTGTTAATGAAAGTTTCAAGGTGAATAGAGGGAAGAGGCTGCACTTTAGAACAGAACTGGCACTTAACACTTTCCTGGCTCACAAAAAGGGGAAAGGTTTGTGTGAATCGGGAAACAATCAAAAGGTAACTGAGTTTGATTGGAATATCTAGCTAGAATTTAAGGAGTCTTACAAACTAGAGTTAAGTACTGGTCAAATTCAAAGTAACTTTTTAAATTGCAGTGTTTATTAAAATTGGAAACTTGACTATAATATGTATGTGTATGTGTCTGTATATGTATATACATATATATATATATACACACACGTTTATTATGCGTGTGTGTGTGTGTGTGTATTTATGTAAGACTCCTATTCATAAGAAGAAATCATAGAGAGCCATGGGTAAATTGATAAATTATGGGTTTCTTCTGAGATTGTGGAACCGAGATTTCAACTAAATTAAAACATGCTCTTAAATGTAATAACTGGAGTGGATTGGGATAATATTAGATTGCCATTTTTACAATCTTTGGCAGTAGATTGGCTGGAAATAGTGAACCCCATAATATGAAATGATTGGAATAAGTAGCATTTGTGTAAAATATAATGCCAAAGTCAGTATTAAAATCATAACTCCAGATTCTATGTAATACCATTTGGAACACAGATCCAGGTATTTTAATTCATTCTAGTCACATTTTAAGTGAAATATTGTCTCTCTTAATTTGATGTTTAAGATAAGTCAGAATTTATGATACTATTCAGCATTAAGACTAATTGGGAAAATTCATAGATCTGAAATTTGTTAACTGGGTGACCTTAAGCAAGTTACCTCGGTTTATTTCACATGAGTGTAAAGTGCCTAACACAATGCCTGAGAAGGCAGACACTATAAATGTTAACTACTATTGTTAGTTCCTTAATTATATGTGACCAGTATATAATGCCAATGGGGATGAGATGCCCGATTTTCTATATAGGGTAATGTGGAAACACATTCAACAGAACTGGTGTCACCTGATTGGTAATGGGTTGGTTTCAAGTTTCAAATACATAATATTGTTTCAAATTGGTAAAGTTTTATATCAGTTATGTCAAGCAACTTCTTATAATTTAGATGTTATTAAAGTATGAACTAAAAGAAACTAAAAGATGGTGGGAAAATTGTTTAAAACCAATTATGTCATCAGCCCTGCTAACCCTGTCTTATAATGTTTTGTAACTGCCATTTAGAAAACTGGGTATTTCCATCTTTACCTGTAGTTAAGAGGAAGTTACAGGTACAACAATCTGGCTGTCACTTGTGAAAATTTTAAGATTGTTAACTAAGTTATTTGGGACTATTGTTTTAATTTTAAAACCTAAAACTGGTCACTGATTACTGTGTAGAAAGGAGGGGATAAGGTGGAAAGACTTATCTGGATTGGTCCTGTGCATTTAGAGCAGTCTTCCTTGGATTAGAAGGGTGTGCAGCAGGTCTATTCCACCTTGGGAGTGGAGGTGTCAAATAGTACAGCCCACAGCAGCTGTAAAGGTAGATGGAGTGGATACCCTTCACTCCCCTCTCTTAGGAAGAGAGCCAAGGTCGCTTTGATGTATGGCTACAGAGGGGGACTGGAGGCCCCATGTGCCAGTTACCAAATACTGGGTTCCTAAAAATAAACCACATCCACTCTGGTAGATACAAGTGCAGAATGCATGATGCTATATGGGAACCCCAAAAGATATCCTGGCAAGAAGGCAGCCACAGAAGGATACAAGGGAAATTCAGTCAGGGCAAAACAAATTAAATCAAGACTGAGAATAGGGAACTTGCCACGTAGAGAGAATGTGGTTTACCTCAGTCTGAAAGAAGAATATGATGGGGTGGACAGGTAGGGGCTTCAGGATTAGCCCCTTTTCTTGGGTCCCTGTTTATTCTCCTTATTTTGTAAATTGCCAGGGACCCCTAGAAACCATTTGTGTGGACAAGCTCAACAGTTCTGGGAAAAAAGCTTGTTAGGATTATGCAGTTTTGAAACAATTTCACCTGTTAAGGAT